AAAAAAAAAAAAAAAACTGTATAGAGTATCACTAAATTTCCACCTCCAAGAAACAGATTGGAAAAGAGAAAAGTTTTGAAATGTTAGTGAGAAGTGGAAGAGGGAATCACCCAAGAAAAGGGTAAAGGGGAGAAAAAATGTTTTTTCCAAAGCCAAAAAGGAGATATTTTTTTATATTTTCTGCAAAAGGCAAATATACGAGACTTATCTATAAGAATAGGAATGGCCCAAGTGAGTCACAAACATTATGAAGTGAATTAGGATTACTAGATATTTAATCCAGTTATGAAACATGAAAAACACAGCTCTAAAAATCCAAAGCGAGAGAGAGAGAGAGAGAACGTGCAATTGTACTTGTGGGTTATTCTAGGGTGAATAATAAAAGCAGAGACAAAGGTCGTGACGGTCTCATTGATATTTTTAAAAGAGTTGTCTATGTCAAAAATCAGAACGGACAATAGTGTTGGACAGTTTCGAGCTATATACAGATATAATTTATGTGGCTCATTTGCTTTATTTTATTTCAAAACTAATGTTATCTTTATATATTTTGTATGCTTTTCATTTTAATATTTTATTTTATTTTTAATAATATTTCTTTAGGTATGATTTTTTATATGTGTAGGAATATACATACTTATATCAAATTTGAAACAATCTCTCATCGATGTACTAAAAAGTTTGTCAAGAATAAGGACAAATATCGTGTTGTGTTTGCTGTTTGGACTTGAACTCTAATGTTTAGATTCAAGTTTCTAAATGCAATCTAGATATACTAAAAAGTTGTCAAGAATAAATGTGAGTATATACATAATCTACACACGCATCAAAATATGCTGATATCTGCAATATTTTACTTCAAATCTTGATAAACAGAAGAGTACACTTCTTTTAACAAGCACATGTCATGTGTTTATATAACTTCCCCTGTTCTTTTAATATTTTCAGTGTTTCTATTTAGATGAGGTAATTTGACTCGGCATAGAATTTAAAAAAAATAAAGATTTTAGAAATTTGTGGTCTTAAAAGCTTAAGAATAAAAGCTTTGTGCGATCATGATATTTGTGTGAATATAAAAGCTTCTCATTACGGGTAAAATTGGTAAAATAAAAAGTTTAAAATTTTCAATTATAGAAATATGTCATTTTTTAAAACGGACTAATAAGGAAAATGTGTCATCTAAATTAAAACAGAGAGAGTATGATTTTTAGCATTCTCGTCAAGAAAATTATTTCATAGCATTATCATAAAAACTATGTGATCAAATTATCTTTCTTTCTTTCTTTCTTAACGAGTAATTAATGCCTTTTTTAGTTTCTAAGTGACCAGTAGTTTAAAAAATCTAAAGTGATTGAGAAAAGCAAATGGAGAAATAAGAACAAAGATAAGAATAAATATAGCAACACATGATAAAAGCATTGAGATATACAATGATATACTCGAAGTATGTACTAACATATTTTGGATCCCCTTGTTATATCAAGAGAACCCGCAAAAGGAAAGAAGAAAAAGACATTTTCAAGTTAAGGCAGTTTTTGTCTGAAAAGTGATTGGCATTTTCTGCAAAAACAGCCTGCGAAGCCCTACATATGACGTGTCTGACGCTGAACTAACGGCGTTACTTTTGTTCTTCTTTCTTTTTTCTATTTTGTTTTTTTCTGGCTGTCGGATACTTTTTATTACTAACGCCGTTTCAATTTAGATCATGTAGTTGACTCGCCACGAAATATTTTTAAAAAAAAAAAAGATTTTAAATTTGTGATCTTAAAAGTTTAAGGTATAAAAAATCTATGGGCCATGATATTTGTGTGTTTATAAAAGTTTCTCATTAAGGATAAATAGGTAAAATAAAGAGTTTAAATTTGAATTATTTTCAATTGTAGAAGTGTGTCATTCTTTTTTGAACGAACTAATAAGTGTTGTCTAAATTGAAACAGAGGGAGTACTTTGTTTTTGTTCAATACAAATATGTAATTTAAACACTATTTCTTCTAATTTAACCCTACTCTTCAAGTTAAAAATTAAATACTTTTTCAATTTAAAAACTGCTCGAAATTAAAATTCTCATGTTACGGATTGAAGTTAAATGATATTTTAGGTTTGATGCTTTTTTCTTCTATTTTTTTTTTCGGGAAAGATTCCCTTCACGACTCCAAAACAGGTTTTCTTCTCCCAATTTTTTTTTCTTTTCGTTCTCAATTTCCTCTTTATTTTTCATAAAATTTGCCTGATATTAGTTCGCGTTTTATTGTTACCCATTAAAAAAGGAAAAAACGCCAACAGTGTTCCACTACTATAGGAAAAAAGAGTTAATTACCATATTTTGAATTTGATTTCACATGCCCTTATCATTATTAGATTTATTCAGATTTGTCTTTAACTACGAAAAATAGAATAAATTTACTTCCTGCTTGCTTTGATCCTGAATATACTTTTATCATGAGTAAACTGGCTCATATTTGCCCCTCAAACCTAATGGACTTCTAACTTCTCATTTTATTCATTTAAATATATTTTATTATTATGATGGAGTATCACATTACAAGACAATAATCTTAACCCCAAAAATTTCTTTAAAATAAATTAACTAGAAATTACAAATATCTAAAATGATTGAAAGATCCGAAATACATCTAATCGTTCATCATCTTCATGTCTTTTCTCTATTTAAAAAAATTTTACTCTCCTAAAATTTAACAGCAATTGGACAGAGCACCAATTTTAGAAATCTAAATATTTTTCGTGCGTGGGGGGGGGGGGGGGGGGGGGGGGGGGTGGAGGAGAATAAATAATCTTCAAGAATTCAAATACAAATTAAAATTCTTAAATTTCGCAGAAATAATTAAAAGTAAATTGAGAATTGCAGGGAGTTATTATGTGCACTCTAACAATAAGTTTTGATCTTGCTAATGAAATCGCAATTATTGTCATGCTGGAAAGAATAAAATTCATAAAATATCAATTTCATTTTTTTGAGATAAATTTATGCATATAATTATAATTGCAAAGACATAAAGATATTATTAGTTAAAACGACAAAAGTTAAAAGAGATAAAGAGTTATTAGTTATCCTATGAGCAAAACAAAATGTTTCATGAATCTCTTCTATAAGGAATGTAAGTTTCGTAGAACTATAAGGACGATTATGCTAGATGGTAGTGAATGATGGGCTACTAAATGTGCGATCACACAAGATTAGCTAAGATTAAAAATGTGACCACATTCTTACAAGGTCCAAGTAGCACGTATCGAGGATAAAATGAGAGAAGGTCACTTGAGATGATTTGGTCATGTCATGTGTCAAATTACAAATGCAACAGTCCGTATGTTCAAAACTATGGGAGAGAAAGGTGTTAAAAAGGGGAGAAATAAACTTAAAATCACATGGAAGGAGATTCTTAGAAAACCTATAAATTCTTGAAATGCAGACTTAGCTAAAGATAGGGCACGATAGAATAAAAATTGCTTATAGTAATACCTACAAGTATCATGTAGGTGATACCTACTAGTTGGGAATAGATTGTAGACTTGGTAGAAAACTTTTACTACTATTATTATTATTATTATTATTATTATTATTATTATTATTATTATTATTATTATTATTATTATTATTACTACTACTACTACTACTACTATTGTTATTGTTATTGTTATTGTTATTGTTGTTGTCGTTGTCATTGTCATTGTCGTTGTTGTTATTATTATTGTTAATGTTATTGTTATTATTATTATTTTTATATTGTTGTTGTTGTTATTATTAAGTTTTTTTTTTACTAGCACTTTTATTTTATTTCGATAATGATGATGATCATACGTGTTGAGTTAATGAAAGAAATAAAGATTTATACCACCGACCTCAACTTGTTTAGGATTGAGGCATAATTATTATTGTACTCAAAGAAATGGAGTAGTCATTTTGACTCCTTTATTTTTAATTCACTATTATTATATATTTGGTTAGTTCCGCTTCTGATAATCTACTATCCTCTATTTATTTAGCGTTTGTTTTATAAACGTCCAGTAAAAATGTTCTACTTTTAGAAATTATGTTATGGATTATATTCAGTAAGACAAAGGCTATCTTTGTTGAAATCCACATGGATCACATCATTAGAAAATCAATGGTTATCTCGCTTTACAATGATGCAGAAACCAACTTTAATTACTATATCTATAATTCTGATCACGAGTTCAGATATCCCTTTTGCATTTCTTCGTTAGATTACTTTACTTTTGACTACAAGAGTAAAATCGATTGAATTTTTATCAAATGAGCATTCCACCAAGTAAAATGAGTAGTAGTTATCTTGTGATATTTCCATTAAGATTCAAACACAAAACGGAAACTATACCCTTTTTTTTCACGGGTAACAGTTAACCAAATAATGTAATAAAAAATTAAACCAACTTTCACTAGATTCACATGCAGTAAAAATGATTTGTTCTATTGAGAATATTTTAGATTCCTTTCCTCTTTAAGTTGTGCAATAACTTCCCCCCAGTAGAAAAGTAAATGGCAGTATTAGTAGTTTGGAATCATTAGAAAAATGTGAACCCAAATTTTTGCTTTCTGGAAGAAAATATCAACTAATTCAAATTTTATTGGGATGACCAGTTTTCACCATGCTATTAAGTTATATCCATCTTTTTTTCTTCAAAATATTTAACTTATAGTGGTAAACTTCAGGCAAAAGTCCTGTTTGTCACGACCCAAAAATCACAAGTCGTGATGACACCTAACTCAATCCGCTAGATAAGCCAACTAACATGAAAAATATCATGAGACTGGGATAATAAGAAAATAGAGAATAGCTAACTGAATCTTTACAAGTTTACCAAAATCTGGTAGTACGAATCACGTACTTCTAAGATTTGGAATTTCAAAACTGATACAAATAAATACACGTTCTATTTGAAGGTTACATAAACATATTAGTAATAATCTAAAC